GGTCAAATAACCTGTTGAAGCTCAGAGATAGGATGCAGAATCAGAGGTCCTTCGCAAATTGCAGGTGAGGCGAGAGAAAAAGAAAAAAGAAAATCTATGGTTCAGAAATGGCTACTTGGCCCAACAATGTTGGATGGGCTCCTGTGGCGTGTAGTGTTTGCTTGGCCCTATGTGGTTCGGTTCGGTCCGGTCTTGAATTAAAATGGCTGAACCAATTGTGCAAAAACCGGCAATTAGAGCTAATATAAATTTGTTTGTCATGTAATATCAATTTTAATATAAATTGACGTCATAATTCATGCTTACAAATATTCTAACTAAATTGAAAAAGAATTTCAATTGATACATATTTAAAAGACAATAGTAATCTTAATCTCCTTTGTCAAAAATAATAGTATATAGAGATTTTAAAAAGAAAAAAAAAAAGAGAAAAAAAGGCAATTTTAATTCGCAATTAATTAAAAACAAGTAATTAGAGCGAAGTTTACTCTCCTCCATGATCTCATATTTAGTAAGAAAAAAGGCAATTCCTTTCTACGTTCCTATTCTCAATGGCCTTAATCGATCTCTCTTTCTCTCCTTCTCTTCTCTGTTCTTCCATTGTTTTCTTCTTCATCAAACCCTTTCCACGCACATTTCCATGTCTTCTCTCTTCCTCTATAGAGAGACAGACAATCAAACCGCACACACATAACACAAACACACAGCTTTCACAATTTTAGGATACCAGAATCCCTCGCAAACATAAACCATGTTGCAGAGAGCTGCAAGCAATGCTTATTCATGGTGGTGGGCAAGCCACATCAGGACCAAACAGTCCAAATGGATGGAGCAGAATCTTCTAGGTTCATCTCTCTTTTCTCTCCTTTCTCTCATCTGGGTTTTCTTTTTTCTTTTTTTTTTTCTCTGTTTCTGATATGGACGGCATATGCTTTTGTGATTTGATCTGCATATCTAATTCTACATTGTTCTTCATTTTTCTTGACAACGTTTAGCGTCGTTTTTTCTCTGATTTTTCTTGGGTAAGATCGTGTTCTGGATGTCCTAAATGTTTTGTTCTCAAAGTTTAAGGATTCCCATTTGGAATTGGATCATATAATCAATTGCCCAGATCGATCCACGTCTCATTGATTAATCATGAGAAATGAAAGTTTCTGCAAATTGCAGATATGGAGGAAAAGGTCCAACACGCATTGAAGTTGATAGAAGAAGATGGAGATTCATTTGCGCGGAGGGCCGAAATGTATTATAAAAAGAGGCCAGAGCTGATATACTTCGTGGAGGAATCTTACAGAGCTTACAGAGCTTTGGCTGAACGCTATGATCACATTTCAACTGAGCTGCAGAATGCGAACAACACGATTGCTTCGGTTTTCCCGGAGCAAGTTGAGTTCGCGATGGATGAGGAAGATGAAGAATCCATGCCTAAATTCTCCAAGAAGTCACCTCACATGAACAGAGGAAACATCCCAAAAGTTCCCAAGGCCCCTGCTGATTTGAAGTCTGTCATTACGACAGCGACGAAGAAGTTGAAGCCCAAAAAGATCTCAAATTTTGCAGCTGCAGCTTCGACAGTCGCTAAATCCGGGTTGGAGAAACGACAGGCATTGGATGAGATTGACAAGCTGCAGAAACATATCTTGTCATTACAAACAGAGAAGGAGTTCTTGAAGAGCTCTTACGAAAGCCAGCTTGGAAGGTATTGGGAGATCGAGAATCAGATCAAGGAGATGCAAGACAGAGTTTTCAGCTTGCAAGATGAGTTTGGAGAGGGAATCGTTATTGAAGACGACGAGGCTCGTAATTTGATGGCAAACACTGCTTTGAAATCCTGCCAAGAAACATTGATTCAGTTGGAGGATAAACAGGAGAGATCAGCTGAGGAAGCAAGAACAGAGTCTGAAAGGATTAATGAAGCAAGAAAGAGATTAGATTCTATCAAAGGTGAGCTTCATGGTGACAGACCCAATGAGGAGAAGCAAAAACCAGTAGTTCCTGAAGAGGTTAACATTCGTGTAGAAGAGAAACAGAAAGCAGAGGAATTACGCGAAAAAATCAAGCAGCAGTTGGAGGGCAGTGCATGTGTTACCATGACAGACATGGCTGAAAATATTGATGAGCTTGTAACCAAGGTGATCAGCTTAGAAACCGCCTTCTCTTCTCAGACCGCTCTTATCAAACAGTTAAGATCAGAAACCAACAACCTGCAAACACAGATACGAACTCTGGAAGATGGGAAGACATCCATAATTGATGGAAACAACATTCTACAACAGAAGCTAAAGGATACGGAGACGAAACTGAGTGCGCTTCAGAATCTGAACCAGAAACTTGAGAATGAGAAAACCAATTTCCAATCCCAAATAATCGAGGCACATCGTAATCTTGATCATCTTTCTGGTAAACTGCCGAGCATACAGCAAGATGAGGATTCCAAGCCAGGATCTTCCGTAAACATGGTGCAGCTTGAACAACCAGAGAAGTTGAAAGCTGATGAAGAGCCAAAGCCAAAATCTTTAGTAAGCATGGTGCAGGTCCAACAAGGAGAGGAAGTTGCTGGTGTAAAGTTAGGTGCAAGTGGAGCAGATACAGAGCTGAAACAGCCCAATGAGGGTTCTGATAATCCAAAACAAATGGGATCAGTTGAAGAGTGTCAGGTAACAGCTTCGAGGAGAAATGAGGAAGCAATCAATGAAATGAAAGCATCCCCTAAAGAATTGGAATCACAGAATTTGGAAGGTAAATCTGAGGAAGCTGATGCAAGTAGCATGAACAGAAATGAAAACAACATTTGTCCAGTTCGGATGGATTCTCGAAATGTGCGAAGAAGTTCTAAGAAACTTGGTGTTAGTAATGCTTCTAGAAGTCTAAGAGTTGTTGATATTAGGGATGCAGATGCTGCTGTCAAAAGTGGGGAAGTAATTGCTCAAACCTTGTCAGTGAATGCTGCAGACAATCCCAAGAAAAATGAGGCTGATGGGTCTGCTACAAGTCTTGTAGAAGTTGTTGAAACCAAGGCTAATTCACAGCATACAGCAGGTGGTCATGAGGAAGCTAGAGTGAATACCACTGATAGAAGTCAAGTAGAAGTTCAAATCCAGGACCGATCACAGAGTTCAAAAGGTAGCTATGAGGACTCCAATGCAGATGCTGCTGTCAAAAGTGAGAAAGTAATTGCTCAAACCTTGTCTGGTTCTGGTTCTGCTAGAAAGCTTGTGGGAGTTGTTCAAACCGAGGCTAATTCACAGCACTCAGAAGGTGATCGTGAGGAAGCTAGAGTGAATAACACCTCTGGAGGTCAAGTAGAAGAAGTCCAAATCCAGGACGAATCAAAGAGTTCAAAAGGTAGTTATGATGAATCCAATGCAGGCAACACAGCCAAAGGTCCGGAAGGAATTGTTGTCGACTTGTCGGTTGGCAATCCCGAGAAGAACGACGATAATGGTTCCCCTGGAAATGGAAGAGAAGTTAAAGTAGAGAATAAGAAGAAGAAGAAGATGATGAAGAAGATAATGAAGAGGAATTGTTCAGAGGCAATTAATATAGAAAAAGACGAAGAATTGCAAGTAGTGAATGAAGTAGATGAACCAAATTGGCAGCAGTTGTTCTTGAGTGGAATAGAAGACAGGGAAAAAGCTCTCCTGACAGAGTACACTAGAACTCTTCGAAATTTCAAGGACGCAAAGAAGAAGCTGATCGAAATGGATGAAAAGGATCGTGATCATCTTCAAACATTAAAGCAGCTAAATGAATTAAAAACTGTAAACGCGTTGAAGGATCAAGAAATCAGATCATTGCACCATAAATTGGATCTGATGCAGAAATGTTTCAATGAAAACAGGGAATCAATGGATTTAAGCGAGCAGAAAATTGGGACAGACGACCAGAAAACCTCAAATGATCAAAGTGAGGAAACCAATAAAACAACGAACGGTAAAGCAGGTCGGAGAAAAAGACTGACACGTCAAGATGTATCGAATGACAATTTGGCATTTGACATCAGTAAGTTTCTAGTACAACAACCAGAGACGACAACGTCAGAGATCGAAGAAAGACTCCGGATGAGAATTGATGAACTTCTGGAGGAAAATTTAGACTTCTGGTTGAAGTTCAGCGCTACTTTCCATCAGATACAGCAATTCGAAACTGGGATTCAGGATCTAAAAACGGAAGTGACAAAGCTTCAAGAAAAAGGGAAGAGACAGGATGTGAGTGGGAGTGGGAACTTCTCGTTGAGATCAGAGGCGCGGCCATTGTACAAACACTTGAGGGAGATACAGAATGAACTCAACATCTGGTCGGATAAAAGTGGGGAATTGAAAGAGGAGCTGGAGGACAGATTTACATCACTGTGCAACATTCAAGAGGAAATAACAGCGGGATTGAAGGCAAGCGCGGAGGATGATGATTTCTCATTCACCAGCTACCAAGCTGCCAAGTTTCAAGGGGAGGTTTTGAACATGAAACAAGAGAATAATAAAGTGGCGGATGAATTGCAAGCAGCTTTAGATCACATAGGATCACTTCAATATGAGGTAGAGACAAATCTGGCAAAGTTGAACGAGGAGTTCAGACTTTCAGGGTCGAGGCAGGAAACTCCTTCACAGCTGACACACTCGGAAAGCAGAAACAGAGTTCCTTTACGTTCGTTCATCTTCGGCGTCAAACCAAAGAAGCAATCCATCTTCTCCGGGATGGCACCTGTTATGCAAAAGAAGTATTATGCTTTGAAAACAGGCAATCTGTAAATTCTTTGTTTTGCATCCCACTTTCCACATCTTTTGTTTCTTTTGGTCTTCTGCAATTTTTGGCAGAAGTGAGATTTTCCTAGACTCGTGTTGTTGTGTAAGCTTGTTTTTTAAGTTCATCTGGAAAAATACACATCATCACTTAAATTCTCTGTTCATATCATGGGCTAATAATAATTAGCCCTTGATTGAATTTTGATATCAATCAGCGCAGTACTTTCACATCTGTTGTTCCACATTCAATCAAACACGTCAAAATCTCAAGGATATTCATGGGGTGTTAACATTACAAAATTCATCAACTTCCTACAAATAACAAGTTTTGTTTTTCCATACCAAAAACCCACCACCCTACCTCTTTCCTTGTACCTACTTTCAAAGGGGTTAAGAGTTGAACTACAGTCATTTTGGATAAAGATCCAGGTTACCCAGACAGCATCGACAAACTAATCGGGTCATGTGTTAGCTACATTTTACTACGATCATCATATCAGTAAATGCCAAAATTCTAATACTGGTGAGGCCAAACAAAAAACTCGGCTGCTTGAGGTGCCATGGTAGATGCTCCAATGGCTGGGGTGGTCGACTCCGACGAGCCGAGAGGGTTAGGTTGAAGATGATGGAAGTAATTATGGTGATACAGCATGGCTGCAGTATCATATGGAATTCCACAGGGGATGGGTGGCATAGACTGAATAGGGGCGCCGAAGTTGATGCTGTTGCTTCCACTGCTGCATTGGGCTGCTTGATCATGATTTGATATCTGCTTCTGATCCGATTCAAGGCAAAGCTTCAGCCTTTTTGCAGCTCCCCCAATTGGCAGTGCACTCTTCGCAATAGCCTCCACATCGTATCGATTCATCTCGAAGTTCGTCACCGCATTCAAACCCCTAAACTTGATCGCTGCTATATCATACGCCTCAGCAGCTTCCTCCTCAGTAGCTACAAGAGAATTGTCATATGCTAGTTAGCATTAAACATAAACATAATCAAAACATATTTCCCACATTCACAAACCTACCAAATGTCCCGAGATACAAATCCTTATTCCCTGCAACACGCCCAATCCTCGCCTGCCATCGACCTTGCTGATGATGCCTCGTCACACCTCTGTAAATAGATGCACCCCTCGAAAAACCACTGCTTTTTCTGAAGCCCAAACAAGAATTTTCAGCAAACAAACAAAGGAAAACAAAACAAAAACAAAATAACCCAAAACTTACCTTCGCAAAGATGCAATAAACTCTTGCTTGGTGACATGTTTCATCTCTTCCAATTCTTTGGCGTAATTCGAAACCTAAGAGACGAAACCCGGAAAGGGACAAAAAAATGAGTGAACAAAAAGTTAGAAAAACACTATGGATGATATAGAAGTGTATATAGTTACCATATTACAATTCTATGGAAAGAGTGTATGTATATATATATATATATAAATTACAGGAAAATTGGTGGTTGCAGTGGGACCCCAGTACTTCAAAGCCGCCAAATCATAAGCCCTAGCTGCCTTATCTTCCTTATCATACCCACCTGCAAAAATATGATTCATAAACTCAATAAATAATTTGTATATAAATGTGGAAAAAGAAAACATAGGCAAAAAAAGGGAAGAAATTTGATACCTAAATAAACTGAAGAACAAAGGTTGAAATCAGCAGCGCAGATATTATGCAAAAAAAAGACAATTCATAAACTCTTAGTAATAGTCAAACAAACAAATAAACAAATAGTAAAAGCACGTGAGTAGCATGTGATACCAGTTTAGGCTCATGAACACTTTCCAAATTTGTTCATAACATTCTGAATGCTTTCCTAATACAAGAATATTCCCCCAAGACAAACTAGATTTGAGAGAAACACACCCATTATACAAAAACCCAACACACAAATCCGACCGTTCGGTCGAAAATTGGAGCATCATAAAGTTTTAACAACATTGGACATCAGTAAGTTGGAAAATAGTGGTTTGGTCAAACCGTAGTAAGGAGGAGGAGGAAGAAAGCAAAAGCAAAAGTAAAAAAGCGTAAAAACTGATCAGAAGAAATAAGATGAGAAAGAGGCAGGCAGAGTAGTGAGTGAGTACAGACTCATGGATGTGGGTCGCATCAAAGTGACCACTAATTAACTCTCTCTCTCTTTCTCTCAGCAGAGAAAGAGAAAAATAAATGAAGCAAAATGGCGGCACATCTGATCAAATCAATCAAAACAACAAATATATATATATATATATATATATATAAACATAAAAGAAGAAGAGTAGTCGGAACTGAAAATGGGAAAAAAGTACACATTACATATACCATCACTCAATCATAATAAAAAAGAGTCTGATATGATATGATATGATAAGAACCCAACTTCTCTTTATTAATTCATTTCTCTCTCTCTCTTTCAAATCCCCCATTAAATGAAATCTCTGAAACTCCCTCATGCATGCAGCAAAACCCTCTTCTTTTTTAATTCTCTTTTCAGCCTTTTTCTTAGCCTAATGCCCTCCTCTATAATACACGCCTGCCTGCCTGCCCCTGCCTCCCCTACACTCTGTTCTCTTCCTCTTCTACTAAGTAATAACACTATGATTTGGCAACTTCTTCAAAACCCCATTAACAAAAATTAGAAAAGACTTTTTTTTTTTTTAATGGGTTTTTTATAAGAGAGAGAGAGAGAGAGAGAGAGAAAGAAAGAAACCTTGACGTCCTTTCCTAGCCTGACCCTCTCTTCTACAGCTGTTATCCCATAGATGCGCCTCGTATCTACCCGTCCATCTGTGCCTGCAAAATCAAACACCAACGTTTACAAAACTCCACCTTTCACCTCCTTCTTCTTCTGCTTTCTTTATTACATACATACATACATACATACATACATACATACATACATACATGCTGATCCAACTCTACTACTAACTCAATACACTCTATTCCAAACCTTAACTTCATAGAATACAACTATATTTACCACTACACCCCAAAAACAAGTGATTCCTAATACCAACACTGTTTCTTTCTTTAATCATGAAATAAAATGTGTTGATTGTTTAAGTACTGACCTAGTGACTCCTCTGTAAATTGACGTTCGCTGGCCAAAAGTGTCGGCAATTTTCTTGGACGAATCGGAGTCAACCGCCACGACACCCCCAGCTGCCACCGTGTCAGAGCTCTGTGCGACGGCGAGGGAAAGAGCACCCGTGGGGCAGCTAGAGAAAGTCCCCAACTCATTTCTAACCGAAGACTCAATAGAATGAGCACCGGCCGCGATCTGGGTTCTCCCCATAGAAGCCGAATCGTCCACTTCAGAGCCGGAGTTCCCAGAAAAAGCACGAAACGCCGCAATGGTTTTGAGATCCTGTTGGTCCCCAAAATAGGGTGCCGAGCCATGGTCGTAAATATGAGTCAAAGACGAATCTTGAGTCTCCGTCTGGCTGTCGGAATACCGCACCATCGACGAGGAATCGCCGAGGAAATCTTCCAGTTTGGGTTGGTGGTGGGTTTGTGGATGAAGATAGCTCGTATAAATGGCGGGTGTCGATTGATTATGATGATCTTCTTTGATAACCTCATTGTTTTCATCTCCATCCATGAAGAAAAGTTGGGATGATGATTTGGGGTGAGCATTAGTACTATTACTCCATCCTTCAATTAAAAAAAAACCCATATCGAAATTAGTCAAATACAAACTCCCCAAAAAAAAAGAATCGATTTTGACAAAAAAATTTCATTTAATCAGTGATCATCTGAAATGGGAATCCGAAATTACTCAAAACCCAGTACAGAACAATCACTTTCTAGCACTGTCTCAGCATCCAAACAGAAAATAAGCAAAAAAAAAGGGAAAAAAAAGAATACCATTATTGGAGTAGAAGTTGTCCAAGAGATAGTGAGGAGAGGCGGTGGAGGAGGTTTCATAAGGAACAAACTGAGAGTCAGCAGAGCGAAGCATTTCAATGGGAGAGAGGGAAAAGGAAAGCCAGTTAGTCGCAGGAGCCATTAGTTTATGGTGTTGAGAAAAAAAGGTATTGAAACTATGTTCAACCTTCTTGTTTGGTGATGAATCTGAGAAGCATAGGATCACGTTATAAACAAACAAAAAAAACGAGAAGAAAATGAAAAAGAAAGAAACCGAAGCTTTTTTTTTTTTTTTTTTACCTTAACAGAGAGTGCGTTACTGAAATAGAAGAGCTCCCATATCAGGAGAATCACTACGAGAATCACGAAGCTGACCAAACCCCAATTACAAATAAAAAGGAAGACTTTTGTGTAACACTTATCGATTTGGGTTCAAACCCTTGTTTCTGTTTGTAAAGAAGAAGAAGAAGACGAAGAAGAAGAAATGCATGCAGTAAAAGGCAAGGGATTTGGAAGCAGGAGGAGGAGGAGGTGGAGGTTTATAAGGGGGAGATGGAAGCGGTTCAACTTGCCAACCGGCATTCAAGACTTGAATAAATAAATTCAATTAAATTAAAATAAACAAATAAAAAAGGGAATTTAAAAAATGAATGCAAAAAAGAGGAGAGAGTAGTAGTAGAGAAGCGACTTTTGGCACTGCGCTGAAGAAATTTTGTCTGAAACAAGGTCGCGAAACATCCGGGCTACTGCAAAATCTCCTCCTCCTCCTCCTCCTTCTTAGCTTATAATGTTTAGTTAGTTTATGAAGATTATGCATTCAAATGTGTATTCATAATATCTATAGTTTAAATTCACTGTAAATTCTTGTTTTCCATCAACTCCACTGACCAATGGATTAGAGTGATAATATTACCCACTTGTCATGCATGCACATCACCTACTTATCACTTAATTACTTCTCCTCACTCCGTGTGATTTCTCTTCCCTGGACATTTCTTTCTTTTACTTTCACTTTTTTTTTTAAATTTAAATTTAAATTGAAATATAATTTTTGAATATAGAATTAATAATTGAAGTAATTAAGAGTAGGAAAGTGATATTAAAATGGAATATTGGGAGGCAGATATTGCAGAAACCATATGCCCTTCCCTCTCTCAATTTTAATATGCATGTGCTCATGAAACAACTACCTAATTATTGCCTTTTTTTTATTTATATTTTAAAAAAATAAATAAGTAAGTAAATAGAGAAATTAGTCTCATTTTTCTCTACTCCCATAATCATTTCATAAACTCAAATTAATTGATTTAAATTAATTGATTTAAATTAATTGATTTAAATTAATTGATTTAAATTAATTGATTTAAATTAATTGATTACACAGACCTATATCAATTAATTAATCAATTCAACTTACCTTTTTTAACTGAGGGAACCCCTTTCTCTTCTGCCTGCGGTCAAACGCAACCTATTTCCCCCTAATATATACTTTTTCAAATACTATCTAATATTATATTACTTTCCCACCATGCATGCCCCAATTTTTTATTTTTATTAAAACATTATTTTTGCTTTTAAACCAATTTTTAACTAAATCTTAAAAAATAATAATTGCTCCTATTTTCAAGGTTTGACTAAAATTTCATAATTATTTAAGAAAATAAATAACAAGAAGTTTGTTAAGTAAAAAACCGTAGAAAAAAAATTTTCATTAATGGAGCCATTGTGTAACCGTTTTTTTTTTCTTAATAAAATAAATAGGAAATAGGAAAATAAGTAGAAAGTGATATGATTATTTGTAGAGTTCCAAAATATTTAATATTTTTGTTTATTTAAAAACAAAACAAAATATAAAAGCAGAAACAAATTTACATAGCATGTTTAAAAAAGCACACTATACTGGCAGCAGCTCTATAAACAATATAAAAGTTCTGACATATTTAAACATAGGTTAAATTATGGTGACTATCCATATCATCCTAATTCTATACTATTAATATACATTACTAAATTAAAATAGATTTTATGATAATTGATATTTTTTTTCTTTTAAGTAAAAAAAAAAAAGTTGGCGACCAATGACCGAAAAAAGCGGAAGAAAAAGGGTAGAAAAGGATTAATTTGGCGCTGTGAAAACAAAGTTCATCCCCCCATTTTATGGCAAGTAATTTGGCAACCCCAATATTGTTATTATTATTATTATTATTTTTTTAATAAAAAAAAAAGGGTTTGTAGAAAGCAGTGCCAGTGTTTTAAACGGTGTGTTTTGACGACGTTGGCATGCCGACCATCCTCCCACCCTCCCGCAATTCCTTCCCGCTTTTTCTCCTCCTCCTCTCCCCCCCACCCCTAATTAAATCACCCTACCATCTAATCTTTCACCTTATAACCCCTAATTTCACCTATTTTACCCTTTCATTTTAACCACTTACTCTCTCTTTTTTTTAATTTAATAATAACCCCTAAGTTCCGTCATATTTGTTACTCATTTCTTTACAAATCCCAAACAATAGGTGGAGTTGATAATGTATTTTCTCTTTTAAAAGCTTTCTTAAGATTTCAAAAACCATATTAAAGTATAAAATATAGTGTAATAGCATGGAAAACTGGAAATGCAATTTTGCGAGCTTCATAGGGGCATTAAAGTAGAAGTCTCATAAGATTATATTTTTTTAAAAAATGTTTGTAAACGACAAAATTTAATGCACATTTTTGGGTTTAAGGTAGGGATTTGTTGTGAGTTGAAGTTCCATTAATAAACAAATCATATTAATATTTCCATTAAGGTTGGATTTGGAGTTTAATTATTTGGAAATAGCTTTTTGTGTTTGATTATTGGAAAGAGGGTGAGATAGAGAGCGACATAATTGGATGGAGGTGTTGGTTAATAGACCTACACAACCTTTATTTTTCTTTTGGGGTTTCTAAACTTGTTCATATGTTTAAAAACAATTATGCACCTTTTCATATAATATAATCTTCTTCTTGCCTTTTATTTTTAAAAGGATACTGCGGGTGTTTATGCTTTTTTTTTTTTTTTTTTTTTTTTTTTTTTTTTTTTTTTTTTTTTTTTT